ATCCAGCACAACTCCCTGACCTCAGCACTTCCTACGAGACAGCGCTGTATTTAGCAAACATGCCATAGGGTTTTGCTGGAAAATAAAAGTGACTGGACAGATATGGGAGTCAGTGAGCTAAAAGGATGCTCATGGATAAAGTGAGCATCCAAGGCTGAGGGGATTATCCCAGGTAAAAATCCAGCTGGAACAATGCCAATGATAAATGCAGTTACTCCAAGTGACAGGAATTAACCTGCTGAAACTGCATCACAGAATATGAATTATGTGGAATATCCTGCACTGGAAGGACCCACAAGGATCATCCAGTACAACCCCTGGCCCTGCACAGGACACCCCAAATTCCCATCCTGTTCCTGAGGGCATTGTCTAAATGCATTCCAATATTTATCTGATTGCAGAAACAAGTTTGTTAGTTTTTAGCTTCAAAATCCCCCCCCTTCACCTGAGTAAATCGACCGTTTAATTTTATTCTTATTTCTGCCTTTTTAGGGACAGAGGTAATTTACTGTGTTTGGATAACCCCTGATGGGGACTCCTCTCACATTGTTTGACATCCCCTTTGGAACACAAATAATGACACCCAAATTTGTCTTGTTGGCTGGACATGAGCACAAAGCCACACCACAAAAGTGTGGATCTTAATCGCTCTCCCTAATTTCCTGTGCTTTAGCTGAATTCCTTTATTGTCTTCTCCTTGAAAAGAGAGCAGTGGCTTGGGGGGAAGCACCGACATTTAGCACTGATAACGTCAAAGAAAACACAGGGCAAGCACTCCTGGAGAGAGAAAAGAATGGCAGAGCAAAAAGACACAGAGGAGAGGCTGGAAATCCACCCAGGAGCTCCCACCTCCTCCCAAACCTGGAGAGCTTTCCAGCACAGCCAGAGAATTTATCCCCCTTCTGCAGAGGCACTGCAGCAGTTGCAGCTTCTTCCAGGAGGTGGCAGGAAGATTTTTGAAGAGAAGGAAGAGAGGGAAAGTTGGAGAGAAAGATTTAGAGGAGGGAAGGACACACCTGGCAGGCAGCGATCTGAAACCCTTCCTCCCGAGCTGGGGGGGTGCTCAGGTTGGCAGGGACGCTTTCCAAGATCCCAGGGGGCTCCAAGCCCCATCCAACCTGGCCCTGGTCACTTCCAGGGATCCAGGGGTGGCCACAGCTTCTCTGGGCACCCTGTGCCAGGGCCTCAGCACCCTCACAGGGAAGAATTCCTTCCCAACATCCCATCTAACCCTGCCCTCTGGAAGCCATTCCCCTTGTCCTGGCACTCCATCCCTTGGGAATATTCTCCCTCCCTGTTTCTTGTTGGTTCCTTCAGGCACTGCAAGGCCACCTTTAGGTTACCCTGGAGCTTCTCTTCTCCAGGCTGAACAATCCCAACTCTCCCAGCCTTTCCTCCCAGCAGAGCTGCTCCATCCCTCTGCTCATCCTGGTGCCCACTCTGGACTCTCTCCAGCAGCAATGTGGAAGTTTAGAATTTAAGTGAAAAGGATCCTGACCTGAGGCACCTGTCCAATTCCCAGGAGGGGAATAACTGGAAAATAACCAAGCAGATTTGGGTGCCCAAAACTTGTTTTGCTCCTCCTGGTTCCGTAAAGGGGACTGCACACCTTGTATCCCTGCAATATCCCAAGGTGGGCAGGCACATGGGAATCCTGTCCTGCAAGGACATGGGCTCGTGGTTTGAATTAAGAGGGACAAAAACCTGTTGTTAATGTTGTAGCTGCTACTCCTGCAGTAGCACCAGGAGTTGCAAAAGCATGACTCAAGGTCTCATTTCCTCTGTCACAACTTCCAAGCACAGAGAGTTGCTGGAGCACTGGGATTTGCAGGGTATCCTCAGAGCTCATCCTCTCCACACACCCTGGCATTACAGCCCCAGGGAGATTTTCCCTGGGATAAGAGCCCTCTGTTCAGAAATTGATTTTTGGCAGACTTTAGTGGGACATTATTGAAACCATTTGTAAAATTGCTGTGCTCAATTCCTCTCGTATCAGGCAGCAATTGGGGCAGCAGTGTGGAAATGAAACATTTCAATCTCCGTTAATATGGATTGTTTCAGTCTTATTAAAACACTTCAGGAAGGTCAAAGCAAAATATTGCCGGGATATTTTTCTTGCTGAAGAGAAATGGGGATTTGCCTTTGAAATCCCTCTTTGGGTGACCTCGGGTTGGAAATCTGTACTGCAGGGATAGAATAATTCCAAGTTTGGAGACACTTTAACCACACCTCCTACCCAAGGGCAAGGGATGTAAACTGGCTCTGGAAATCAGCCAGGAGGGGCTGCTCCTGGACTTTGGCACAGCTGGGATTGCAGTCCACAGCCACAACTTCCAGATGGGACACGGGTGGCTGGGGAGGCACCAGGAGGTCAAGCATCCCTTTCTCAAAGCTGGAAGCTTTTGTAGGATGGAGGGAAACAAAACAACTGACTTTGATCCACACAAAGACAAGTGGGATCATTCCCCCAGCCGGAGCCACCTTGTAGATATTCCAAAAAGCCTCCACAGAAAAAAAAAAAAAAAAAAAAATCATGGAATTATAGAATCATTTTGGTTGGAAAAGACCTCCAAAACCATCAGGTCCCAGCTGTGCCCCATCCCACCTCATCACCCAACCCAGAGCACTGAGTGCCACATCCAGGCTTTCCTTGGACACCTCCAGGGATGGGAACTCCAAACCCCCCTGGGCAGCCCCTTCTAATGCCTGGCCACCCTTTCCAGGAAGAAATTCTTGATCCAACCCAAACCATCCTGCAGGGTTCAACTGAGTGAATGGTTTAACCTGAAGTTATTTGAACTAAAATTCCCTGGATATGCAGCACCTTAGGAATCTCAGTAAACCAAGAGGAATCCTGTTTATTCCTTTCCACGTACTAGGGGTTCTCCAAGACCCCTGAAGATCCTTTAGGTGGGTTTTTCTCAGGTCTGCTGAGCACTGCACAGACTATTCAGAGTGAGGGTAGGTTTTTGGTATGGTTGACTGAGACATCCCAATTTAGGACGAAAGTCCAGGGCCAATCACTGGCCTCTCATTTTTTTTTAATATACTTGTAATAAACTCCTCACTTTTACTGAAAATACAAGAGTTTTTCCTCACTTTATCCCTCTTCCTTCATTAATCCCCTTGTTGGCTTCCACTCTCAAGAGAGAAAACATCTCTTTTAATTATTTAGCCTATTATTGGCATTAGTTGGCTCTGTTTTCTTTTGCAGAAGCCACCAGAAGCTCCTTCAAAAGAGCAGCATAATTCTGTAGTCAGGCTTTGAATTTCCTGATCATTAACAAACAGGGTTTTATGAAATTCTGGCTTTTTTTGTCTCTATCACTGAGTAGACAGCGAGAAACAAAAAAAAAAAACCCTTCTGCTCTCATCTCCTTTAAAAGCATTTAATACCTTTTCTTCACAGTTTCTCTGTGGATCAAGCCAAGAAAATATTCCTGCAAGGTCAGGTCTGCTGGGGAGGCCAAATGAAATGTTGGACCTCGGTGGAATTATGGGATCATCTGGACAGGCAATATTGGCCTTGGGAAAGAGCTCTGCTCCATGAATTCATAGCTCTGGCCACAGCCAGCGTGGTTTTAAAGGAATAAAACAAGGGCTTTGAAGGGCCTTATCTGCAACTAACACACAGTGGTTTAAGCCTCAGAGACCCTGGGCTACTGCATCTGGTGTCTTTTCTTCCTCCTCCCCAGTTTCTGCTTGACTCAGCCTTGTTGGATTGGCCTCTCTTTCCCAGGAAGTGGGAAAAATGGAAATTTTTGCCTCTGAAGTGGCAGCAAACTTTGCTGCCTGAGAAAAACCAGGATATCCCTCTGAAGGATCTCACAGGGACCACAGGCAGGACTGGCAGCCACACATCCGTGTCCTCTCTCCTGGCCTTGTGCTCCCCACATTTATCACCCAAGCATGGATAGAAAAATCCATCTTTTCCCTTGGAATCTTGCTTTAGTCTCCCAGGATAAAAGCACCCTGAGCTCTGCAGTAAATAAGGAAAAAGCTGACGTGGAAACTGAGTCATGAAAGGCTTGTGTGGGTCTGATTCCCACACCTTGCTCTGTGATTGCTGAGGAGGGAACAGCTGCAAAGGGTTCCACAGGGATTGAGTGAAGAAACAAAGGAAAACTCTAAATCTGCTCAGAAGCTCCTGAGCTTCCCAGTGCTAAGGATCCATTCAGTGTGGGAGTGACGAGGCAGCTCTGCATTTCAGGCACTTCTTTAGGGCTTTTTTCCATCAGAAAAGTGGTTTTGAAAGGAATATCCTGGTTTATTAATTCTGGGAAGAGCTGTGCAGGGGTGAGCTAAGCCTGGAAGCCTTGTCTGGCCAGCATTCCATGGAATATCTGCTCAAGGCCTGGTTGTGAGGGAATGAATCAGGCAGCCAGGCTCTGGCCATGGTCCTTTTCCCCACATGATAATTCCATTAAATTAACATTGGCTGCACGTTCTCATGGCAACTCTGAACCCAAATAATAACAACACAGAGGATGTGGGAATGGGGGGAAAACCTGTCCTGGAAATTCCTCTTTTGTGGAGAATGTGCGTGGGGAAGTGAAAGGAGAACAGCGGGAGGGCGTCAGCTCCCGCTTCCCACGGGGCAGGATTATGGCTCTCCTCAGTCCCTGGCGCACTTGGTGAGGTTTTGGGTATTTCCAGCCTCGAGGATTCTGTGTTTCCTTAAGGATTCTGTGATCCACAGGCTGCTGGCACAGCACTGACTCCCTCTGCCCCTCTTGGTTGTGCTCTGTCATTTCCCCTGGTTCTCCCTTTGGAGCCGAGCCTTGCGCTTCCTGTTTTCCTAAGCACGTCCCCCAGTTTTACATGGAACCTGTTATTTAACTCATGGATAACCCTGTTAGCCTGGGAGGAGACTGCTGAGGAGCTCCTGACAAAGGCTCTGTGAGAGCTGGGGGTCCCTGTGCTGGAAGAGCTGGGCTTGGGGTCCCTGGGCCAGGTGGTTTTGGGGAGGTTGGCTTGGGGTCCCTGGTCTGGGGGCCTGGGGGGTTCCCTGGGTTTGGGGTTTGAGGGGTGATGGTGTGGATGGTTTGGGAGGGCCCTGGGCTGGGGTTTGGGGGGGTTTCTCTAGTCTGAACTCTTGGGGGTTTCCCTGGTTTGGGGGTTTAGGGGGAGGTGGTGTGAAGGGTCCCTGGGCTGGGGGTTTGGGGCTAGATCATGTTGGGGCCCCTGGTGTGGAGGTTTAGGGCAGACCCTGAATTGGGGTTTAGGGGGAGGTGGTGTGGGGGTCCTGGCTATGTGAGTTTGGGGAGATACCCTGGTCTGGGGGTTTATGGGGAGGTGGAGTTGTAGTCCCTGCTCTGGAGGTTTAGGGGGAGTGCCCAAATTGGGGTTCAAGGGGACATGATGTGGGGGTCCCTGCCCTGGGGGGTTGTGGGGAGGTGATGTGGAAGGTCCCTGGGGGTTTTTGGGGATGCTCCATGTGTCCTGAGCAGATCTCATTGAGGTGAGCAAAGCAGGTCCCACCTCTGCACATCCCTCTGCAGCTCCAGGGGTAAAACCAGCCCCAGACTGGTGCTGCTGGTGGGCAGTGGCCTTGCTGAGGGCTGGGGCTCAGAGTTCAGGGTCACTTGTCTTGTTTTGTGTCCAATGAAGTTTTGGGTGGTGCTTTTATAGGAAAACTTGGATTTTGTGCTTTGCTGCCCCACTTGTGCCACTGATGCTGGGTCTGCCTGTTCCAGGTTGTGGCAAACACTTGGACATCTCTTTCTGCAGCGGCTGGAGAACTGTCCTGGCCCCTGGGGACCAGAGGGGACCATGCAGGTACAGCTGTTCCTCCTGCATGGTGTTTGTGCCACTGGTGCCACCAGCCAGGCAGCCCCTGCAGCCCCCAGAATTGCTGTTCCTCCTCAGAAAGAGCAATTCCCCACAGGGAGCAGGGAAAGGTCTTCCCAGTGGTTCCTCTGAGGATCTGGGATAGGGAGGGGCGGTCATTCCTTGCAAAACACTCCGTGGAGATGGGGAAAACAAAGCCGCCCCTGTGAAGCAGCTCAGATCTATTTGAGAAGAGTTTTCCCTCTGATTAATTGTGGGGGTGTGTGTATGTGCTGGGAAAGGCACTAATGTTTACTGGAATTGGGCTATAAATGGTTGCTAACTTCTCGTTCCCTGCGTGATAAATATCATAATTGATGCTACAATATGTTAACATTCTGAACATGAGCTCCTCTTTTCCTATGGATTTATTCTCATGCACGGGTAGTGTGGAGGGTTTGAAGACACCTTCCTTCAAAGATTAGGGGATCTTCACATCTTTCCTCTGTATTAGGAGGAGGATAAGACATCCTTTTTTAAAAGAAGAGATGAATATCAGCCGGCTTTGGTATGCAGAAATAACTTACTGAAATTGTTAAATGCAATTCTTGTCAAATTTACGGAGCTGGGCTGAACAACTTGTAATTTTATTAAATCCTGGGAAAGTGGTCAACAAACCTGGGAGCTTCCACTTATCCTGGCAAACTTGTGTTAAATGGTGAAACCTGTCCTAACACGGCAGAACATGGAGAAGAATCCTTCCTCTTAAGCTGTAACTTATTAAAAAATATGTTTTTAGCCATGTGTGAGCTTAGAGAACAAAATCAGTTCAGGAAGAGGGGATTGCAGCACTGTTAAAACTCCCTGTGTCAAACAACTAATTTTAGACCTGGGCTTTAAATGTGCCTTTGCAGTATATTTTTATGCTTCAACTCTCTGCTTCAGACCTTCAAATTTTATTTGGGTGATGGATTTCTGTCAAAATTGGTCGACATTTAGCACTAAAGTCAGGCTGAAATATGAATCCAGCACTTTAGGACTCCTTTTATTTTGTGTGTAGAGCCTGGGGTTCTCATCCCCCTTATTAACTCTTGCAAGAGTGTTCAGGTTCATACTTTTGGAAGAATGATTCTGTTGAAGTTTCATTCCCTCTCCAAGTAGAGATTGATTGATGTAGTGAACCCAGGAGGGATTTTACAGATGGTGAAATTTCCTGTTAATTAGCAAATAGCCTTTGGTAGCACATCCATTGCTTTTTGCCTCTTGTTTTGGGGTCATGGGGGTTATTTCCTTATGTCATCACAGAGTCCAAGGGACAGTTTACAGCTTTTTCTCTCCTGTTTCAGTTTTCCTGGTATTTTGTTTCCAGCTTGTGGAGATCAGAGGTTTATGGCTGTGTGTGTCTGCTCTGCAAGCTCTCAGGGTAGGGATAGGGTTTGGTGGGGCTTTTCAGGGCAGAGCTGTTTCTTTATGTCCAGGTTCAATTTCCTTCAGAGGGGACGGCTCATTTTAGGAGCAAAATGGGATTAGGCCAGGTTTTGTAAAGAAAATAACTGTATTCTTGGCACCATGCCTTCCCAGGATGCGAACATCCAGAGTCCTTTGAGATCAAGTTCTGTCTTTTTATAGAGGAGGAGATGCTTGACGTTACCTCGGGCTTTGGGAGAGCTGCCAGGTACCCAATCTGTGCTCCAGTATTAATTGCACATCTCAGATTCCAATCACCCCATTTGCACAAACCTCTGTGTTATCCTGATGCTCCCTGCTGGAAAAAAAACCCCTCACACACTGCTGCTGGAGCTGTTGGATTTGCACATGGAGGCTTTCACAGAATCATGGAATGGTTTGCGTTGGAAGAGACCTTAAAGCTCATCTCATTCCATGGAAGGGGCACCTTCCGCTATTCCCAGGTGGCTCCAAGCCCCATCCAACCTGGCCCTGGACACTTCCAGGGATCTAGGGGCAGCTCTGGGAAATCTCTTTGGGGTTTTTTTTTGGGTGGCATCAAGAATAAAGCCAATACCCAGACGCGTGATCTCTCCCTCCATTGTTCTCTCCAAAGATTTTTGTCCCCTCTTTCTAAAACCGGAATTTCTGTCAGCTCGGGGGGGTCACTTGGCCCCGTTTTCACAGGAGTGGGAGCAGCATCATCCTGCCCCCTTGGGAAGCCGGACGAGCCTGCTCGGCAGGGCTGGGTGGCTGGTCCGTGTGAGGCGGCCGTGGGCAGGAGCCGTGTCCCGGAGCTGCGGGCTGCAGGTGGCAGCAGCGCCCTTCCCTTCCCTGCGGCAGCCGGGGATGCTGCGGCACAGCCCGGCCACAGCGCCAGCCCGGCTCGCTGCTCCAGGAGCACATCGGCACCTCGCAGCCACACTCTGCGCCTCCCCCGCCTCCTCCCCAACAGGAATCCGGATCCTTGGAGAGAGGGGAGGGGAAGAGAAGCCTTTCTGCATCGCGCAGTGCCAGACAGAGCCCGGTAATCACATTTGTGTGCGGTGATTGGTTGGGTTGGGCTCTCCCAGCGCTGAATTGAGCAGATTCCGGCTTTTTTGTGCTTTTGGGGGTGTATTTTTTTCTTTCCTCCTCCCGTTCCCTCTGTGCTTCGCTGTGATAGCAGGAGCTGTTCTTCCACGATAGCGGGAACCAAAGGCAGCAGTGGTTCCTGGGTGTTATTATTATTCCAGGCAGGGATGCAGCCCTCGGAGCCGTGGGGGTTTGAGCGCTCATTCCATCAACTTTGTGGCATCTCTTCCCACATCCGCCTCTGGCTGCTGCTCCTGTCCGTGCCCTGGGTGGGATGACCCCAGTATTTACCTGCAAGTGTCACTTTGATCATTTTTGGGCGCTCCTCGTGTGCTGCTCTCGGCAGCCCTGGAACTGCTCAGTGCAGTCACTCCCAGAGCCACCTCCAGCCCAGCCCTGGGCTGATCCCCAGCGTGGGCAGCAGGAAAGGGATTGGGATTCTGCCCCTGTGCCCCTGTGCTCAGGTGAGACCCCACCTGCAGAGCTGCCCCAGCCCTGGGGCCCAGCACAGGGAGGATGTGGAGCTGCTGGAGAGAGTCCAGAGCGGGCACCAGGATGAGCAGAGGGATGGAGCAGCTCTGCTGGGAGGAAAGGCTGGGAGAGTTGGGATTGTTCAGCCTGGAGAGAAGCTTTGGGGTGAGCTCAGTGTGGCCTTGCAGTGCCTGAAGGATGTGACAGGAAACAAGGAGAGAGAATGTGGACAAGGCCTGGAGTGACAGGACAAGGGGAATGTCTTCCTACTATCAGAGGGCAGGGATAGATGGGATATTGGGAATGAACTGTTCCCTGTGAGGGTGGCAGGCCCTGGCACAAGGTGCCCAGAGAAGCTGTGGTTGTCGCTGGATCCCTGGAATTGTCCCAGGCCAGGCTGGACAGGGCTTGGAGCAGCCTGGGACAGCAGAAGGTGTCCCTGCCCATGGCAGGGATTGGAATTGGATGATCTTTAAGGTCCCTTCCAACCCAAGCCATTCCTTGATTCTTGGGAGAGCTGCACTGCACATGAGGAGCTCCAGTGTGCAGGTGGATTTTGGAAGGTGGTTGGAGCTAAATGCTGCAGAAATTCTCTGGAAGTAGCAACTCTGCTGTTTGTGTCTCTGTCCTGACCCAAGGCAGCTTCCTTAGAGTGATGTGTTGCTTGAACTTTTGGGCTTGTCTCAGGATGGCATTCTGAGCTCCAGCAGGTGACATCCAGTGCAGGCAATGATGTCATCTGCCTCATCCCAGTGGCAGAAGGTTGCCACCATGAAATTAGAAGGAAAAATTGATTGGAAGAGCTTCTGCCTCCTGCAAGAGGCCCTGTGGGACCCAGCTGAGATGGCCAGACTGGTACAGGGTAGTGAGAGACCAGCTGGGAAGACACTAGGCTTACACCTCTGGGGATCTCTGTCACCTTGGAAAATCCTAAAATCATTTAGGTTGGAAAACACCTTCAAGATCATTTCCCCAGCACTGCCAAAGCCACCACTAACCCATGTCCCCAAATGCCACATCCAAATGTCTGTGAAATCCTTCCAGGGATGGGGACTCCACCGCTGCCCTGGGCAGCAGTGCCAGGGCTGCACAGCCCTTCAGTGAAGAGGTTGTCCCTAATATCCAACCTAAACGTTCCCTGGTGCATCTTGGGGTCATTTCCTCTTGTCCTGTGTTTGCTCCCTTGTTGCCAGACAAGCCAGAAGTGGTGCAAAGTGCTCAGGTGAATGGTAGGGTTAAATGACATTAATTACTGCTAATCGCCTCCCAGATGGGATGTATCCAAGGCATGACCCTGCTGCTGGCTCCAGTGACACCAGAGACAGAAGTGTCCCTTCAGCACGGGCTGTTTGGGATGCCAGCAGTGGTTGTGGGAGGAGTTCACATCACGGTCAGTGAAATGTGCAAACCAGGTGCTCAGGAATTAGGGATTCATGGACTCCCTTGCCAAGATCCTATTGGGAATGAAGGGCAGTGCTGCCCCAGAAGTCCTGTTGTGCCACAGAGTCAGTGGAGCTCTGAGCAGTGGCAGGGAGAATCCTGTGAATCCCTCATTCCTGCTTTTCCTTCTCCATGCTCTGCTCCACCAGCCCAGGGAGGGTCCCTGCAAAGCCACAGCACCTGCATTTGAGGCGTTGAAGGAAACCTGGAATCATGGAATGGTTTGGGTGGGAAGGGATCTTAAAACCATCCAGTCCCATTCCCTGCCATGGGCAAGGACTCTTTCCACTGTCCCAGGCTGCTCCAAGCCCCATCCAACCTGGCCTTGGGCACTTCCAGGGATCCAGGGGCAGCCACAGCTTCTCTGGGCACCCTGTGCCAGGGCCTCAGCACCATCTGGGTAAAGAATTCCTTCCTAATTTCCAATCCAAACGTGTTCCCTCCCAGTCCAGAGCTGGGCCCTCCTTTTCCCACAAGAGCTGCGCTCGCAGGCATTTTAATGCATTTGATTTGTTTTTGCACAGAATGAAGATTTGCTAACACTGATGCTAATCGTGACTCTGGAGTGATTTGACCAGATTGTTTCAGAACAAAAACCCCCGGGGAGAAAAAGACAAGTACTTTCTGCTGACATTTCTGCAAACTCTTTTTGCTTCTTTTCTGTTCAGCTGACTTTTCATTTCAGACCTTTCCTTAACTTGATTTTTGAGACGTTCAGATGCGCTCCAAAAAGACTTTTTCAATTTTGTGGAAGAAGATATTGTAGTCAAGGCAGAATAGCTTTGCCTTTGCTCTCTTCTTTTCCCTCCCATCTTTCACAATGTGCAAATCAATCAAGGAAAAAAAAAATGTATTGTTTGGCTGCTGGACTCCTCGTCCAGCAGCTCCTGGGTAGGGCAGAGTGATTGGCTTTGTGACCTCTTGGCTCAAAATGCCTGGGTGACAGCACTCCTTTTTTAGATTTTTTTTTTCCTCCTCCTGCTGAGGAGAATGACAAGATCCTGAACCTGTCCCTGGTTTGGTTGTGACTGGGTTTAGAAATCCATGGCTGTGTCTGTGCACTGGGAGCTGTTTGACATCCCTGATTCCAGCAGGAGGGGGCTGCTGGTCAGAGTGCAGCTGGAACTGCTAGAGCAGAGCCATCGATCCCGTTAGCTCCAGGATGGAGTGGTCTGGGATGCACTGGGGGGTGCTGGCCTGTGTCTGAGCAGTCTGATAGCACAACTCATTAATTACTCATTGTTATACTGAGTTGCTGCTCCTGCCACCCTTTGCCACAGCTCCAAATGCTCCCAATGGAAAATGCAGAATCAGGGAATGGTTTGGGTGGGAAGGGATTTTAAAACCATCCAGTCTCACCCCTGCCATGGGCAGGGACACCTTGCACTAGCCCAGGTTGCTCCAAGCCCAATCCAGTCTTGGACACTTCCAGGGATGGGGCAGCCACAGCTTCTCTGGGCACCCTGTGCCAGGGCCTCACCTCCCTCACAGCCAGGAATTTCTTCTCAATATCTAAGCTGAATTTCCCCTCTTTCAGCTTGATCCCCCTTCCCCTGGCACTCCAGTTCCTGATGAAATGTCCCTGTCCAGCTTCCCTGTAGCTCCTGCAGACTCTGGAAGGGGCTCTGAGGTGTCCACACAACCTTCCCTTCTCCAGGCTGAGCAGCCCCAGCTGTCCCAGCCTGGCTCCAGAGGGGAGGTGCTCCAGGTCCCTATGACAGCCGTAAATACAGACTTCCAGAGGGCTCTGGCTCTCCAAGGTATGAAATCTCCTTTGCTTTGTATTATTTTTGTTTGTATTTGTGTTTTGTTTCTGCGTTTGAGAGTGCTGAGTTCAACCCCAAATGTTGGCCCTGAGGCTTTTCCAGCAAAACCTTTTTCCTGTGTGAGTCTTTCAGCAGCTCCTAAGGATGGTCCATTTCTGGAACTCTTCATCTGTGTGAGGCTGTACCACAGCTGCTGTTCCCAGCGTGAGGGGCTTGGTCCCAGGACCCCAGGAATGGCTGCAGCTGTGCCAGGGGAGGATCAGGCTGGATATCAGGGAAAGGTTTTCCCCCCCAGAGGATGCTGGGGCACTGCCCAGGCTCCCCAGGGAATGAGCACAGCCCCGAGGCTGCCACAGCTCCAGGAGAGTTTGGACAGTGCTCTCAGGGATGCCCAGGGTGGGATTGTGCAGGGCCAGGAGGGACATTCCACAATCCCTGTGTGTCCTTCCTGCTGAGGATATTCCATGGTCCTTTGCTGTCGCTGTTGTCGAGCTCAGCTGATTGGCAGCTCCACAGAGCAGAATGGCCATCAGGTAACTCTCCAAAACTGATAAATACATAAATAATGGATGCAGTCTTCCTGCTCTGACAAATTATCCAAACCCATACTGCAGCCCCGAAACAGATAAGAATTAATTGAATGAGACACGGGACTACTTTTCCTCCTTTAATCCTCGGCAAAAAGGACCCATTCAAAGATTTCGCTTGGTCTTTTTTAGTTTGCAGTTGTAATTTTTGGATTTTTCTTTAATCATGATTCCTTTGTGTTCTGCAGAATGAGGATCACAGGATGGAGACTGGCAAAGTCCGGAGCCTCTGTAGTGGGACGGGAAGGCAGAGTCTTACAGGAGGAATGCCAAAGGGTGTGCGAGCATACAGACAAATTGCTGGTGGATGAATTTCTGGGAAATAAACCTGGCAAATTAGAATTGTTAAAGCAACTGCTGAAATGGCTGCTGCCACTGAATTGTCAAAATAGGGGAGTGCAGAGCTCCTCAGCTAATTTACACAGCACCAAAGCAAAAATAATGGGGTAATAATGAGCAGTTATTGGTCCTGGCTCTCCTCACTCATTATCTGAAGTGAAGACGTTTATCAGGACAGAATTAAGCTGGCAAGATGTGCCTGTGACACAATTACAGTGGGCACTCAGAAGCAGGGGGGATTTGAGGAATGGCAAACAGGCAGAAATAATCATCGCTGCAGGAAAGCAGGTGAGGAGGGTCAGGGCTCCTGGAGTGGTGTTTAGGTCACTTAGAAGGGTGAGTGAGGTGGTTTGGGGAGGGGAACAATGGGATCTGGCTCACCTGCAGGAGCAGTAATGCCGTGAGTGGTGTCGAACATTTGGGTGTGCCTGGGTTTGAATGTTTTAGTGCCGCTGATGTTGGGCAGCCTCTCGGCTCCATAAGCCCTTCCCAAGCTACTCCAGGGAGAAGGGAGACCTTCCCCAAGTGTGCCAAGTTCATTTGACCCAGACTGTGGGATCCCAGGACCACTGAGGTTGGAAAAGTCTTGAGGACCGAGTCAAACCTGTGCCCCATCCCCACCTTGTCACCAGCCCTGAGTACCACATCCAGGCCTTCCTTGGACACCTCCAGGGATGGGGACTCCACCAGCCCCTTCCAATGCCTGACAACCTCTTCCATGGGGAATGTGTTGGACTGGAGGACATCTCTTAACACAGAAGCCATGGGGAGACCTTACCTTGGGGTGAAAATCTGGAGACTGCCCTTCATCCCTCCCATCCCTGTGTTTGAGCCCAGAGAAAAACAGCAGGTACTGGAATAAGCTGGGGCTTTGTGTGTCCCTGAACCCAAGGTGTGGGGGGCTCTTCAGGCAGCTGAGGCTTCTGCTGGACCTTGGCTTCCTCCAGGAATGGCTGATCCGGCCTTTGAAGGCAGCTCCTGGTGCCTGGCTGGTGCTGACCTGGAGGCAGCGGGCTGGGTTTGCACAGCTCCCAGCCCTGCAGTGAGCTCTGGCTGATGCTATCAGAGCAGCTCCCCATAAATAAACATGTGATTGTGCATGCTGCACTTGCACTACGCCAGGAGGAAATTCTGACACCCCTGGCCTTTTATCTCTCGCATCCCTCGGCAGCTGTGAAAAAGCCTCTGACCTGGGCTGCTCATTCTGCTCATTTCGTTTCAGCAGGAGCTGGTGCCTGTGCAGCTTTGTTACTCTGTTCTGCGGAGGAGGAGGAGAGCAGCGGGCGTTTTGTTGAAGTTCTTAATTGCAGGCACAGCAGGATTATGGAAATGTCAAGAGGGAAGTGACAGGGAAGACCTGACAAACACGTGGGGGCTGGTTGATTCACTGCTCTCTTTTCCAGCGGGGTGGTGGGTGGATTCTGAGGCAGAGGCTGGACTGGGGCTGCTGTATTTAGCCCTTGCTCGAGTCCAGGCCCAGGATTAGCAAAACCCAACACAAGAGGCCTGTGCCAGAGGAGCTGGAAGGACTGACAGCAGGGAACAGCAGGATTTGGCCCCCTCTGTATGAACCTGTACCAGGGAGATGCTGCTGTAGCACCTGCCCGTGCCAAATTCTGTGTGTAATTTGGGGTGGGTGTTGTGGCAGGAGGACCCCAGGGGGAGGCTGACTCCAAACAGCATTTCAGGAGTTAACAAAAAACCTCTGCTTCATTGTGATTTAGCAGACACTGCTATTCCATTTCCTTCAGCCTGACACAAGGGTTCATTCCTCATCTCAGGAAAACTGAGACGCTGTCTTTGGGATGCAATTCCTTGGGAAAGAACGCTCCAGACCTTTAGATTTCCCTCTGAAGAGGGACAGATGGATCCTGCTGCTGCCATGGCCATGCTGCTGGGGCCAAACAAGCAGCACACACTGGATTTAACCTTGGAGCTGCTGCAGGGCTGGGATTTTACACAGACCCCCAGGGCACTGCTGGAAAGAGGGGGCTGCTCCTGTCAAAGCTCCCCAGAGGGTTTGTTCCACAGCAGATCCCATGGCTTCCTGAGCAATCCTCTCCAAAGATTATCCAGCTTTATGCTGTGCTTGATGTCCCTGGTGCTTTCTCCCTGTCAGCCGGGACAGGAAGCCCAGGTAGGCACACAAATATCCCTCATCCCCTCCCAAGGTGAGGAGTTGTCTCCAGGTGGTCTCTTAGGTTGGCTGGGAAAGCTGCATGGAGACAGGAGGAAATCACCCAGCTGTATCACCCAGATGTACCCCAAAGCAGCAGCTCCATCCTGCTCAGGATGGGATGATCCTGGTGCTGGCCGAGCTGTAGGACTGAGAGCTGCAAGAGAAGGGACTCCTGGTGGGAAGGGCAGTGCTGTCCCACTCACCTGGACCTGGCCAGGATTGGTGAATCCCACAAACCCTCATTTCTGTGCTCACAGTGATTCCAGGTGGTGGCCCTCTCCAGTGCATGCTGGATTGTGCAGGGAGCAGGGAATGCTTTGATGTCTGGGATATTTGCACAGGCAGGTGGTTCCCTGGGAGCTGCCAGACGCTCCCTGTCAGTGGGAACAGGCTGTGGCAGGCCTGGCAGGGGGCTGGGAGATGCTGCTCAGCCGACAGACACAGATCTTCCGTGTTTTGGGGACCAGGAAGGAGAAGGAGCAGCCAAGAATATTTATTGCCCAAAAACTCATGGAGAGACAGGGAGGAGAAGCCAGGGAGGGTCAAAATGGGTGTCTGGAAACAGGGGAAAACAGGGAAATGACAGAAAAGAGTAGGAGGATTGGCAGAGGAGAAAAGCTGTTCTCAAAGTACAACTCAGCTGCTGGAGAGAGTCCAGAGGAGGCACCAGGATGAGCAGAGAGATGGAGCAGCTCTGCTGGGAGGAAAGGCTGGGAGAGTTGGGATTGTTCATCCTGGAGAGGAGAAGCTTTGGGATGGTCTAATTGTGGCCTTGCAGTGCCTGAAGGAGCCAACAAGAAACATGGAGAGAGAATATTGAGGGATGGAGTGCCAGCACAAAGGGGAATGTCTTCCCACTGTCAGAGGGCAAGGATAGATGGGATGTTGGGCAGGAATTCCTCCCTCTGAGGGTGGTGAGGCCCTGGCACAACTTCCCAGAGAAGCTGTGGCTGCTCCTGGATCCCTGGAAGTGTCCAAGGCCAAGCTGGACAGGGCTTGGAGCACCTGGGATAGTGGCAGGAGTTCCTGCCCATGGCAGGGGCTAGGACTGGATGGGCTTTAAAGTCCCTCCCAACTCAAACTATCCCATGATTCTGTGAGATATGGGGAGTGAGTGTGCCAAACATTTGTGAAACTTGGACTGGTGGGACCTGGAATGTTGCTTCTTTCTAATCTTCTCCTTCACAAAGGCCAGGCTGCCTTATCTCATTGTTCTTTCCCTTAACTTTGAATCCCCAGAGCTCATGTTCCTTCTTGAGCATTTCTGTGTTTGCAGCCTGAGTAATTTGGGTAATTTTGGGTTGTACCAGCAGCTGGGCCAGGGCCAGGTTCTGTCTGAGGTTCTGAGCCTGAGGCACTGCAGGTCACAACTGCAGGGTGTTGAACACGTCCCTGAAATTGGCAGAGCCCCTAAACATCGAGTGGTCACACTCTGCCCTTGCTCATTTACCCAGCTTCTGGTGAAGGACATTGTTCCTGCTTTTTGGGCCCTTTCCCTGCCTTGTTGCTTGTTAAAAAGATGTTTTGCTTTCCCGAGGTGGTGGAGAGGTTTGTGACATTTTGAGCTAAACTTTGCTGTTTCAGCAGCCAGCAATGAAGGTGATTCCAGGCACTTGTTCCATAAGCAGCAGAACTAATGAGCCCCAGGATTTGTATCCCACTTTCCTGACCTCTGCCTCCCCCTTCATAATAATATCTCTTCCCACAGAGCCAGTGTGCCCCTGTCCCCTTCCTCCAAGTCCTTTCACTCTTGGCATTCACAGGTTGCCTCGTGGGGCAGGAGTTATCTCACATGGCAGCCAAGGCACTCATTTGGCTCTGTCTCTTCCCCATTCCCACCACATTTTTTCCCAGGATTTCTCAGTATTTAATTATATTCTGTCACGTTATATTAATTCTGCCAGTCTGGGGGAAGTTTAAGTTCCTAGAGGTAGGAATCTGCTGCTCAGATGGACCAGCAGATTGTACAGACAGCGGGAAAGGAGCTTTCACGGAATAAATCCCTTTCCTGGGAAGCGTGGATGGTGTCCTCTGTCCCTCTCACCTGCCTGGAAAGCCAGCTACTGCCATACTAATGTGGATTGGAGAGGAAAAGCCTGGGAATAAACAAACAAAGCAGGGAACTGGGGGTGTCAGCAGGACAGGAGGAGAGGAAACAAAGGGTGTTTGGGACATTCTGAGCAGTGTTTGCCATCCAGGGAGTCATCCTTGGTTTCCTAGACTGCCCCACTGGCACTGCTTGCCTTTGGGCAGGCCGTGCCCTTCCCAAAGGATTCAGAGGATAGACAATGTGCAGGAGCTCAGACCCAGCCACTGAGGACTCAGCCCTGTGTCAATGGGTGAATTATGGAATCCTGGAGTGCTTTGGGTCGGAAGGGACCTTAAACACCAACTTTGTTCCAACTAACACCTACTTCTTGTGCCTTTATCCCTGTTGGATGTTCCTGCTGGGATGAGATCAGAAGTTGGAGCAGGATTCTCTCCTTTGGCTGAGCCTTTGCAATCTCTAACCCCTCACATCAATTTCTCAGCTCATCCATGCTCCACTTTTCCAGGAGCACTTCTGCAACCTTGGCATTGCCCAGTGACCCGACAGGAGTGAGGAAGTCAAATCCAATTTGTGACCTTTCAGTACTTCCAGGGAGTTCATAAAGAAGAGGGAGATTGACTTTTTACACAGACAGTGCTGGGATGGGGGGGAATGGCTTTAAACTAAAAGAGTAGGAGTTTATCATCAGAATCCTCTGGGAAGAGCATGCCCTGCCCAATATTAGGTTGTATATTAGGGAGAAATCCTTCCCTGTAGAGGATGTGGAAGCCCTGGCATGGGATGCCCAGAGAAGCTGTGGCTGGCCCTGGATCCCTGGAAGTGTCCAAGGCCAGACTGGATGGGGCTTGGAGCAACCTGGGACAGTGGAAGGTATCCCTGCCCCTGGCAGGGGGTGGAATGGGATGAGCTTTAAGGTCCCTCCAACCCTCCAAACCTTGCCAAGACTGTGACCCACTGCAGAACTTGTGCATCTGTATGTGTCCCAAACCTTGGGGGAATTGCTGGGAGAGAGCCAGGGAACTGCACTGGGCTGGGGATGTCCATTCACAGGCAGCATCTGGAAAGGGCCCCACATTTATCTCTGTCACTGTCACTCCCCATTCACCCCCCTGAGTGACTCAAGCAGCTCTGCACAGAGCTCTGCATAACTTGCCTGACTTTAGGAGTCAGCAAATGATAAATGTCTGTATCCTTGGATGAGGATAATCCAATCGTACAAGTCTGGCTGGATTTCAGCTGTTCTCCAGAAAAAAAAAGAAAAAAGGAGTAGGGGAGTGAAATATTTACTTTTGGTGCTTTCCACAAGTGGAGATGACAGAGCGTGGGAAAATAAAAGCCAGTCCTGGTGGGCAAAGGCTGGAGGGGAAAAAGGAGTGAGGAAAATCTCCTCTCTTTGCTGGTAAAAAGGGGCTTGGCAAGAACAGAGCCATTCTTTGGATTTCTCC